AGGGGACAAATGGGCAAAAAACTATAACACTAGAGACCAATATAAAGCATTGTACAATGGGAAGATGTGTGAAAGTGGTTTCCTTAATGAAATGTGATAGCAAAGTGATGAATTACAGACATGCCTTATTAAAATCATTTGACATCTGTTTGGGGAGATTTTTACCTCTGCAGTTATAACTATGTTGTACTTACTTGAAATTTTATCAATAGAAAATCAGAGGGAAATTTCCCTGAGACAGCTGTTGAAGGGTAACTAGGAAATGAGTTTCCCATCATTGCTTCATTTTCCTTCAAAATGAATTTATTGAAGTTGCTGGGTTGCTTATGGAAGAGAATATACACACTGCATATGCCCAAATCATTCCTTTGCACTTTGTTAAGTTTTTGTGTTTTATTTTTTGACTGAATTTTATACTTATTTTTTTTAACTACGTGTTTAATTGATGATTTATTCCCTAGGGTTCTGTTGCAATTGTTCCTTTTAAACACAATTCACATGTAATTCTCCTGTTCAACAGGAAAACCCAGTATAGTAATGTGAGACAGCTATGTAGACAAGCTGATCAGACACAGACTTAGAAGGGAAGGAGGGAGACAAGAAAGACCTGCAGACCAGGATGAAAGGAAGCACCTCAGTGCACAGACCGTCTGTCCTTCCTATAAACCTTTAAATGGGCTTAGGCCACCCATAAAAATAGTCTGGGAGCAGAGAAAAGCCTCACCTACATAGAATTCAATAGAGCACAGTGGTTAAAAATATGGATTTGAGTGTGGATGCCTCAACTAAACCCTGATTGCACCTCTTGCTAGCTGTGAGTGACCTTCACTGAATTAGTGAAACTTCAACTTTCTTTGGAAAGTGAACTCATCCTAGAAAAAGTGCTATATACCACATTGCTGAGTATCACTATGGTCACCTTTGAAGGACTCCTCTTAGGAAGCTGTCTACCAACACCAGCACCTAGTCCACTCTTCAGACCCATTTTGGGACTCTTTTTCTAGAATGGCCATCCAGAGCTGTTGTCGTGGGAGGTCAGATAATTAAGTTCACAGGTGTATTCTTGTACAATTCTGATGGCCATTCCAGAAAAAGAGTCCCAAAATTCCTTTGAAGGGTGGACATCGTGTGTAGCTTCCAAGGAGAGTGCCTCAAAATGGCCATAGTGATATTCAGCAACGAGGTATGCAGCACTTTTTCTACGAGGAGCAGTTTGCCAACTTAGTTGTCCAACCTTGTTTGTGCTCGCTGCTCTGCACTCTAAACTAGATGGCATGACCTCTTGTCTGGCTTCTAACGTGATATGAGGATCTGAAAAATAAAACAAAAAAGGGGTCTTGGAACAATTTTATACATTGACAGGGAGCTCCAAAGATCATTTCAGAAAGACAGTATAGGCCTGGAGAGGAAGATAGAAAGTTATTACAGGTGTCACTGCCTCCTTGATTTTCATAACAGAAGCCCTTTATCCCTCCTGAAATCCTTACAGATAGAAAGACGATACAGCCAAAGCAATTTTAGAAAACCTGTTAACAGAAGACATGTAATTGATAAAGGTAAGCTGTCTTGAATTTAAGGAAATTATGATCTGAAGACCAGATTTACCCTTTTGTAATTAACAAATTTGCTTTCCTATTAAGAAGCATGCAGGCTGGCAGGACAGAGAGCATCAGGCAAACAGATGCAGTGCCCTAGGCAATCAAATATTCTTTTAGGAGTTCTAGTTCAGAAAAAGTGAACAGGCAAGTATTCCCTCCATAAGCAACTAGAAAACTAGATGCAATGTACAGAACAACTGTGTCCAGACATTAGGTGACAGGCAGAGCAGGATTGTAATCCCACAAAAAAGGAAACAATGTGAGCATCATGATTATCTTAGATTTACCTGGAAGCCCAGGTTCCTATCCCAGGTATAGGAAGCCTAAACGAAACATAGCAAGGTTTCTGAGATGAGGGGACAAATTAGGATTTGAAGTTATACAGGTAGCTGGGATTCACAATAGACTTCAAAATTCTGCATAAGGGCCCCATCCAGTGTTAAGCTATGTCTATTCAGATCAGGATTCACAAGGTCAAAGAAAGAGCAACTCCTGAAAAGCTGTGAATGGAAAAACAAAGTTTCCATAAGATGATGTCCCAGCTCTAAGCAGGGAGATGGGAGAAATCTGGTAATTCAGAAGATTGTCCAGAAAGTTCCTATCACAGGACCAAGGTCAGTCTAGCCTGAGACCGAAGGCTGCTCAGAACCAACTTCTTTTTAAGGCCTTGGAATTCTCAAGCTGATTAAATGCACTAAATTAAAAGCCTGAAAGGAAAAAAAAATTAGCACTAAAGAATTAGAATGTTAGAATATTCAATCTTGAATATACAATGGAAAATTATTAGACATGCAAAGAAGCAGGAAAATGTGATGCACGTGCAGGAAGATCACGACTCAGCAGCAGTGGAGCCAAAATGGGCAGGCAGGATGTCATGAGCAGACAGGGCCACTAAATGGCATTGAACAGCTATGAAAGTTATGGTTAAAGACTTAAAGAGAAGCATACATGTACACAAGATGGATTGACGACACAAACAAGAGCAATACACAAATTCTAGAGATAAAAGATGCAACATATAAAATAAAAATTTCATGAAACAGTGAACTTGAAGACAGGACACTGCAAATACTCCAAATAGAAACGTTGAGAAACAAAAAAAGGAGGGCAATGAATAAACAGAGTTGGTGTGAACTATGAGAGAATACTATATATAACACATATAAAGTAGAAAATGAGGAAAAAGAAGAGGCAGAAAAATTATTTGAAGAAATAATGGCCATAAATTTTCCAAATCTGATGATCCAAAAGCACAGAATTTTATCATTGGCAAATTCCTGAAATCTAATAATACATAAAAATAAAATTATAAAAGTGGTCATACACATGTATAAAAGGTTACATTATATACAGAGGAACAAAGATAAGAATCACTGCTAGATTTCTTACCTAAAACAATGCAAGCCAGAAGACAACACAAAAAACAAATTTTAAATGCAAAACAATTTAAAAACTTGGCAATTTAGAGTTTAATACTCATTTAAAATATTCTTTTAGAATGCTGATGAGCCTTTTAGAATGTTAGAGAGGTAGACAATCGGAAAGGGTGTCAATGTCATGCTTACAGAAAGAAAAATCTTGGAATAATATGCAAATTAGTGCCTTTTCTAGAGTCAGTAAGAAAACTGAGGTCTTTGGGCAAACAGCTAAGCTGACATCTGGTGAGGCTCACACATTTGAAGATACAAACAAGGCCTGAGCATTCATTTAGTGGGGTTGGGGCCACAGAACACCAGGAAAACGAGAATATGAAGTTAAGATTTTCCAGACATTAAAGTTTGAATGTGTGTTGGAATAAAAATGTGCATCCCCAGGAGGCCTGAGCCATGAAGAGTTTGTATTTCCCTAGTGACCTTTCCCCTGGGAGCCCCACTAAGAGGCAATGTGAAGATTGGGGAGAATCCCAAGAGAACATTCCCATGAGACAGGCTGTGGAAGGGGACTGACCACCACCTCTCCCTGACTCCTGTTCTCTGTAGGAGAAAAGGCCATAATCAGTAGAGAAGTTCTCCAAGGATGCTGGGAATAGAATCCTGTTGCAGCTGGAGGAGAGGCATTGGGGTCACCAACAACATTCGCTCAGAACTGGCTTCTGATTTCCCCTAAGGAATAAAAATGTTAAGATTTTGCAGGGAGTGGGGCACCAAAAATATAACCTGAGGAAACTGGTGGAAATCTAATATTGCTAGGAAGTAAGTGGGGAGAAAAATAAGCTCTGTTCCTTGTGAAGGTGCAAAAATCTACGTGAGACAAGCATTAAGGAGCAAAGAATGGAGCACGTGTCACAACACCTGCTTCAGACTAAGGCTAAATTAGAACCTCAGCGATGGCTCCATCCCTTCCCCTGTTACCACTAATGCTAACAAGCATTGAGTTAAATCTTCCCTGGAATGTGCAGAGGAGTGCAGTAAGAGAAAGATTCTCTCCAGGAAACAAAGTAAGTGAGGAAGCCCTCACTATGTGATGTGAAAGTTTCTGGTACAATGACAAACTTACAACCAACCTAACTCCCAGCACTCATGCTAAGGTCTAAACAGAGAGAAAGGTGGGCTCATCTTTAAGCCTAAAAATATTTACCTCAGTATTTCATGTTTTATACAATGTGTTCACCCTTCATTGACAATTGTGATACACATGAAAAGGCAAGTCCAAACTCAGTCTGAAGAGACAAAACCATTATGAGAACTACACTCAGATAGGATACAGATCATGGGTGTGATGATAGGACCGGAAACTAAAACAACTAGGGTAAAATGTGAGGGTTCTGCTGCAGCAAGTCTCAGCTGGGTGTGAGTGTTGAAGGCTAACTCCAGGGGGAAAGGCCAGAGATAGGGCCAAACATTATAATGCACAGGGTAATCTGGGACAATAAAATTTTATCCTGTCTACAATATCCCCAGAACCAAGGCTGTACTCTAATGGAGAAAGTAAGCAACACACAAAGTCAGGTAGGACCTCTCACATACGAGATGCAAACCATGAGAAAGAATGGATTAAAAATGACAGAAATCAAAAACAAAGTAATAGAAAAGAAGAACAGCGATGATCAGCTCATCAGTAAACCAAAGGAAAGAGTTACTTCAAGTTGAAAACAGATAAATAGAAATAGTTCAAAATGAAATGTCAAAAGAAATAAGAATGGGAAAAATCTAAAAAGAAAGCCTTTAAGAGCTGTGGGAATGTTTCAAATAGAACAAAGTAAGTGCAATTGGAAACAATAGGTGAAAAAGAGAGAAAGGACAGAAATACTTCAAATAAGGAAGGTGAAGAATTTTCTGAAATTACCGACAGGCACTAAACTACAGTCCAAGACTTTCACACACCATTAAGTGAAATGAATATCAAATACAAACACACACACTCAGGCATATCATTTCTCAGACTGCCAAAAAAAAAGGCGATTTGCTCACTTTGGCATCACATATACTAAAATTTGAAATATTCAGAGATGATTAACATGGCCCTTGCCCATGGGTGACATAAAATTCCATTAATAACACTAAACAGTACACTTAAATATAGTTAAGATAGTAAATTTTATGTGTTTTTTAACCTCAATTAGAAATTTAAAATTTTTAAAATGCCAAAGAAAAGTTTGAAGAATTCAAAGAGGAAAGCCATATCACGTGGAGAGTGTGCATTCTCTACAGCCAAGCATTGCTCATGACAGTATGAAAGTAGTTCTGGGGGTGGGGGGGAAAGAGCTCTTATATATTGCAATGGCCCGTGGCCCCTCCATGGTATTTAATTTTTATCTGTATGTGTCAGGATCTGCTTCTGACACCACTTGTCAGGGCCAGGGACTGGCCAGGTCTCAGGCTCAGCTTAGGCAGGTTCCGGACATGGACCACTAAGCCACCTTGCTCAGGAACAGTTTCTCTTAGGTGCTTGAGGGCTATCTACTTTGGCTGGAGAAAAAGAGAGAGAGAGTTTCTTAGAGAGAATAAAGCAGTCTTCTTAGAACAGATAGATCTTAGTCTTTGGCAGAGCTTGGTCATCTTCAGCAGAGAGATGCATGCTGGTGTTCTGCAGGCAGGAGAGGAGACAGAGTCAGAGTAAGTGGATCCGTGACAGAATGTGCATGCTTTTTGACTGCCTTCTCCTCCAGCCTAATATAAGGCTGAGCTTGTGCCTCTCAACACCACAGGTGTAGAGACTGCCAACTCACCAATGCTCTCATCTCGCGAGCTCTCATGCTTGTTAGAACCAAATCTCTCTCCATGCCCTGTTCACCAAGGTGTTCCATTACAGGTATTTCCTATAACTCTCACTCCTCCTAGCCATAGACTATACGGGCTGCTACAGTATGGATAAATTTAAATTTAGTTAATTTTTCCTTGGGTGGGGATATAAGAATAATGACACAAAAGTTTATTGAGACCACTATCAGGAGATGAACAGGATGTGAAGACAGAAGACTTTCATAGAAACCATACAGGCAAGATCACGATGGAATGAGATCTTTAATGTGCTGAAAGAAACAAAATACATTGTATTCTTACCAGTGAAGATAAAATTCAAAAGTAATGTAGACATACTGTCTCAATCAAAATCTGGGAGAATTCTTTGCAGTAATGATCTTTTGAAGATCCTTACAGGTAAAATTATATGATGTCTGTGACATGCTTTAAGTCTTTGAGCCAAAGAAAAATGACATAATCCAAGACTGTGGATCAAAAATGAAATGAAGGTATCAAGAACAGGATGAATGTAATTCTGGCATGTGGGAAACTGAGTCCAGAAGTCCGCGAGTTAGAGGCTTCAGTGAGTGATGATGGTGCCACTATACTCTAGCCTGGGCAACAGAGCAAGAACATGTCTCTATAAAACAAAAAATAAGAAAGATAAAGAATTGGATGAGTGATTATAAAATAAAATGTTTCTTGTTTATAATTCAAGAGAGACCAAAGCACATGAGGATAAAGGATATGACTTCATTGTATGGAGTGCTGTGTGGGAGCTTGACGGGTGGTCTGGTGGTGGCCTCTCCACCTTCCTATTCTCTGAGGCCCGTGAGAATGATGAGCTGGAGGAGTTCGTGGGGAAAACCAACTGCATTGCCCATGCTTCTCTCAGCCAGAGGTCAATTTAGAGAGTATGAACAACACACAGGAGTTTACCTTGCTGCTTCATTCTTTCATTTGTGCTCCTCTATTTTCATTATGCTACTTCCTCTAACATTTGGCATGTGGTGCTGGAAATTCCCATTGACCAGAACTTTGGACATACCAGTATTATTTAGGAAATGATCTCTGAGACCAGACAATTTGCCATAGTTTGTCAAGCACTGACACCATTATAAGATCAATGTTTTGAATATGTACACCTCACAAGGTGCCGTACTATGTTTTCTTCATGACTTACATTTGTCAATAAACACTCTCATCACAGAAGCCTTAAATATCTCAGCAAATATTCTTCATTGCACTTAGAGAGTTGAGCTTCACCAGTGTTCTCAGAGACACCCTGGGTAATAAAGACGCCAACCCTGTGTAAAAAATGACGCCAACTCCATTCTCTAGAGGGGGAAAATGAGCAGCCAGGGTGTTTACACATTGCGAAGTCTGTTACAATCCCCGCTGTTCCAGTTCTTGTGTTGAAATGTCCTCCCTGTGGATTGCAGAGAAAAGTATTGCACAATTACTTATGACAATTACTCGGGAAAGCCATTTTAGCATACACAGTTCCCCAAACCTTACGACTGTGATTCAACAGAGAGCTTAAAACTGATAACTTTTAACTAACTCTCTTATTCTCTTTCCTTCAAAATTTATTGAGCATTTTCTATGCACTCTTAAATCTAAGGATATAAAGATAAATGAACCGTAGTTCATCTGCGGTTGAACAAGTAAGTGGCGAAGGGCTGGCCCTGTTTTCACATCCTCCATATTTATTAGTTCATCTCCTATAGTCAATGGGATTTTAGTGGATTTTAATAATTGGCTTTCTGGTGAAATTGTTACCTCAGAACAATTATAAATCATTACTCATTGCAAGTAATCTAAGGCTTCATGCAGTGGGAACCACATGAAATAGCAGGAAAACATTACCAAGAATACTTCCTAAAATATTATCCAGGTCAAACATTGTGGTTCTGTATTAGTACGAGGATTGCAACATTTCTGTAAAGGAAAGTCATAATGACTATTAAGCACAAAAGATGTTACATTATCTAATTTGAGTTACCTTTTAGTCTTTTCCCTATAAATCAGTATCACAAAGTATTTTCTTTACACTAATAATGAAATAAGAACTAACTAGAACCAGATGTGCTGAGAAAGAAGTTTACACAAATGGAAACTATTCATGACTTAAGAGCTTAAGCCATGAACAAAGGAATAATGATCCAGCCTTTTTGTCACTCCCTAAAATTCTCAATCTGCTAAATTAATGCATACAATTAAAAACCCATTATTGAGATTTTAGTCCAATAATTTTTGTTTATATTTTCTTAAAGAGTTTTCTTTTAAAGATCCTTACAGATAAAATTATATGATGTCTGCTTTAAATGATAGGGAAGGTGCAAAGTGGGTAGAACTCTACATGAAACAGGGCTGTCTATGAGTTGACAATGTTGACTCTGGGTAATAAAATGCAGAAACAGGGCCTGTCTCCAATATGGCATTTATAAAAATAGAAAATCAGAGGCTGATATGGGATTACTGAGAGGTTCATTAGTGAGGAGTACAGTTTGTAGTTGATGGAAATTTAAATATCACTTAAACTTTACCCTAATATTTAGGGTAGTGGCTGGCTTCAGCTATCACTGGATACAGAATCTTAAATGATGTCTTTTGGGATTTTATTTTGTTTGCCCCTCTCATTAAACAATTTCCCTCTCCACTAACTGTATTTTCAAACAAGTTTCTTACATATAACAGAAAATAAAGCCTTAGGCTGTGCTAGCCTTACAGTTTTTTCACAGTCAAGCACCTTACAATAAAGCAAGTAACCTCTGCCTTCCACATCTCCATTTGCACTAAGCAGCATCTATACTGCTCACAAAAGTGCTGATTGGTCCTGACTTGTCCACTATATGACTGTGTGCAAGGAAAGCAGTAAAGGGTTGGGCAGAGTAGGGCATAGCCCTCTCCTTCAAGGCAGAGAAGGCAAGGCCCAGAGACTGCCAAGACGAACCCTTACACTGACCCAAAGATACCTCGATCAACTCTGTGAGTTCATCTCCCCTGACTCTCTTTCTCTTTCCCAGTCAACAGAACTCACACTCATTGTCCTGACCTTCCTCTACCATCCAAGGTACTTTCTCAGCTTCAGATTTAGAGCTTGGCTGGAATGTACTTCCTCAGAATCCTGTGGCTAGCTCTCTACCCTTCAAGTTCTTGATTAGAAATTTCAAATGCTGTCTCCAATCCCCATCTCTTCTCTTTTATCCTGTTCCCTTCCTCATGTCCAGAGCATTTAGCACCTTCTAAAATGCTACTTAATTCACTTTTGTCTTTGGGATGTTTAGTTTTGGTTTATTTGAGACAGAGTCTCACTCTGTGGCTTGGATAGAGTGCTGTGGCATCATCATACTTCATAGCAACCTCAAACTCCTGGGCTCAAGTGATCCTCTTGCCTCAGCCAAGTAGCTGGGACCAAGTAGCTGGGACCACAGACACCTGCCACAATACCCAGCTAACACTTTCATCTTTTGTTTGCTGATTTTTCTTTGCCTACTCTCAGAGGGAAATAAAAGAGCTTTATGAGAGCAGATGTTGTTCTTTTATAGTCCAATCACTTCTTGTTGCTGATCTCTGAGCTCTTGAAGAATACTGTCTAGTGGGTCCTCACTTAGTATTTGAATATAATACCCAGTGAAAACTGGCTGTGCACCTAATCATAATGGCTGGTGTTGGCAACAATGAGATTTCAAAAATGGAAGTGACTCTGGTACTAGGGAAATGACTAAGGCTAAAGGATGCTGGGCCAGAAAATTCAAATGCTATGATCCTGCAGTGTAATGGGTCTCAACTTTGCTGTCAGGGAACACTTCTGGAGGAAGAGACATCTAAGGTCAGGTCAAGATTGTGAGGTGGGGATGGGAGTGAGATAGGTGGAGGCAAGTATGCGTAATGGGTCAGGACAGAGCACGCCAGGATCATGGAGAAGTGTCTGGTTATGTGATGGCATAAAGCTCAGAGAGGCTGGAGAGCGTGTTTGCTGCAGTAACAGGTTATAGTAATGAGTCTGGACTTGAGCCTGAGGGCACTGGAAGGCCGCTGAAGGGTTTTGCAAATGGAAGTGACATAATTGGGTTAACTTAAAAACGTTCTCTCTGGCTGTAGAATGAAAAATGGACCAGAAGAGAACAGGGCAGGAAACAGGAAGAGTCCTCGGAAGCAGTGTGTGTGAACAGACTGGCCCAGGTATGTAGAAGCACCATCCTGGCTGGCCTAGTGTGCTCCAGAGCGAATCTCATGAAGCTGCTTGAAGAATTTGCTGTTCTGAGACTTTACTGGAGTCCAGTTAACATAAGTTTCATTCTGTGGGTGCAAAGTTGACTACA